CACCACGTGGTTGCCGTACCGCGGGTTGCGGTCCGATTGCGGCCAGCCGCACGCGCCCTGGCAGTTGTTGGCCTGGTACGTCTCGGGGATGAGCACCGAGCGCTCGGCGCGGAGGTCCACGCTCAGCTCGCGCAGCCCGCACGGCCCGTCGGTGGCCGCGGCACCGGCGCTGCGCTGCGCCCGTGCCGACCCGCTCCGCTCCCGCCCGCGCCACTCGGCGCGCAGGCCCTGCAGCGCTTTCAGTAGCAGCAGCGCGCGCAGCGGACCGCCGGGGCCGCCCGGGTTCCCCGGGCACAGCGCCAGTAGGCGTGCCAGCAGCGGGGTGGCGGCGGGCGGCAGCCCCGGGAGGCCGCGCAATTCCGCGGCCACCGCCTGAAGCTCGGCGGCCACCCGGCGCGCTAGGCCCGCGGCCCACAGCGCGGACGCCGGACCCTGCAGCGGCGCGGGGACCCCGGGGGTGGCTGCCGTGGGCGGCAGCAGCAGCAGCAGCGGCTCCTCGCCGTCGAGCAGGCGCTCTAGCGCCGCGGGGTCCGACAGGTTGACCTGGCCCTGCGGGAAACCGGCCAGCGCGCCCGGGTCCAGGGCCAGACGCGGCGGCGAGGCTCGGGACGCGGGTCCCCGCAGCGCGCGCACCAGGCGCGTGAGCGTCTCCAGGAAGGGATCGGTGCTGGGCGGCGCCTCCTCGGGCTCTGGGGACGGCCTGGACGGCAGAGTGGGGGATCGTGAGGGCGCAAGGCGGCGCCGCCCCCCAACTCCCCGCGCCCCCAGGCCCAGGCCCGCGCGCACCTGGTCTGCGGGAAGGGCACCGAGTCAAGCTGGCCGTGCGCGGGCATCGGCGCGGGACCCCGCGGCGGCAGCAGGAGCAGCGCCGGCGTCATCCGTGTGAAGCAGCGGGAGTCGGCGCCGAACAGCAGCGCCTGCAGCTGGGCGGTGCTCAGTGGCGCACCTGCGAGGGGAGGCGCGTGCGCAGCGCTGCTTCAGCGCCGGGGGTCTGGGGTTCGAGGACAGTCGTCCCCACTACGCTCCGCGGCATCCCTGTCCCTGTCTGGGCGAGACCTACCGTTTCCGCGGCGCCGCAGGGTCAGGGCGAGCCCAGGCCCGCGCCAGGCCGCCTCGGGGCGTCCCACAACCAAGGGCAGGTAGCTGGAGTCCCGGCTCAGGCAGAGGCTCTGCGGAAATGGGGGCTCAGCCAGGCAGTGGGCGCGCGGGGCGCCAGCCCTGCTCTGCCTGCTGCCCTTCAAAATTCCAACCTGGGCACTTGCAGCCTTTTTGTTAAACCCAGTTAAAAAAATCAACAAAACCGTAACCCCTTTCTCGCCCTGAGCGAGGGCTCCTGGTGGCCCAGGGGCAGTCCCCTTCAACTCCCTGGTACCTGGGCGCCGGGCAGCCCGGCCCCGGTGACGGTGACCTCCGGGCCAGGCCCTGGATACAGCACCATCAGTGCCAGCTCTTCGGGGCTGGCTCCTCCAGGTGGAGGCTCCTGGAACCTCAGCGAGGGTGTCGGCTCCCACGTCACTGCGGTCAGGACAGTGGGGAAGGGGACGCCTGAGCCCCTCCCCCAAGCCTGTCCCAGTCCTGCAGGAGGGAGAGCCTCCACCCCACCCAGAGCCCCGGGGAACCTAGTGGGAGAGGCTTGACGCCCCTGGACCCCAGGTGTAGGGCTTCCTTGGGACACGGGTGGCCTGGGAGGAGTGACAGACACTGTGGGCAGTGGGGTGGAGCCCTTGGGGTCTCTTGGTCTGGGGATGTCCTGGGGGAGAGCCCTTCCTTGTAGTGTGTCTGTCTGAGGCCAGCGGTCCCTGGGGACAGGCCCCCTGGGCAGCCTGGTCGGAGAGTGGGGGGAGGGGCCCTCCTCGGCTGGACCTTCAGCCTGTGCTGGCCCTACCCCCTGTGGCTCCCAGGTTGGCGGAGAGGGGACACTCCCCAGGCACTGCAGGACGACATGCGGCCCCAGGCAGGGCAAAGATAACATCACCCACCTCTGTGGCCATCAGCCTCCACTTCCCGAGGGTTCTCCCACCCCAGGGCACCAGAGCCGGCCCCCCGCCCGGGCCCCCAGGTTAGGGCCCCACGTACCTTCCTCCAAGTGTAGGACCACCAGCCGCTGCCCCCCGGGCCCCCCAAGCCATGCCTGCAGCTGCTGCAGATGTGGCAGGGCGGGCTGCCCGTCTCTGGGGGGGCAGACTGCAAAGGTGGCCAGGTCCCGGGGCCCCCAATGGGCGCGCCGCACAGCCTCTAGGAAGGCCCGCTCGTAGCCGCTCAGGGCCCCTGCCACCAGCAGGGGAGCACTACTCCTGTTGCCAACCCCATCCAGGGTCACCAGGCACAGGGGGTCCCGAGGGCTGCCTGCTGGCCAGACGCCAGGGGGTGGCCAGTCCCAGTCTTGGTGGAAGATGAGCCCTCCGCCGCCTCGGGTTGGCTCCATGGGCAGGGCTGGGGTGCCGGGGACCTCTCCCCTGAGGGTCCTGGCCCCCAGCAGGGCCCCCATTGCCGACAGCACCAGGGTCAGCTGAGAGAGAGGTGGACTCTGCATCGTGAGAGCTTGGAGGGGCCGGGCTGCCCCAGCTTATATGGGGGAGCAAGAATGTTTGTGCCAGAGGGCGGCCCCTATCTCCTTCAGGGATGTGACCTTGGGGGCCAGTGCCCGCTGTGAGCCCGGGCAGGCCGGCAGCCTCCTCAAAGCCCCTTCTGTTCCGGCCCAGCTGCCTATCTATCTTCTTCTCACCAGTGCTACAAAGTGTGGCCTGTGACCCATTTGTCAGACTGTCCTTGACAAGTTTTCCACTTTAGAGACAGGAGCAGGAATGTG